CTTTAAACTGTTGCTTCCAGCTAAAATATGAGTCCTCTATCCATAATATTTCTTTATCCAGTTGTCTTGTCTGAATCAGGAGAAAATGTGTATAGATCAAGCACTGTTTACAAGAAAAACAGTCCAAAACAGTTCAAATATGTTAGTGGATTATGGACTCGTATTTTAGTTGAAAACATCTTAATGCTGGATTAGTTTCAGCTTTTGTCTTCTCCAGATGTTAACTGATGGACTGGAGTGCTGTGGATTACTTGTGGATTATTGTGATGTTTTTATCAGCTGTTTGGACTCTCATTCTGACGGCACCCATTCACTTGCAGTGAGACACTGATGCAATGCTACATTTCTCCAAACCTGAAGAAGAAACAAACTCATCTTGGATGACCCGAGCACATTTCCAGTGCATTTTTAATTTTTAGCTGAACTATTCCTTTAATAAAAGATGTCATTTTTTAATTCGATATTGTATAAAATGTCTGATAAAAAATAGAGATGTAAAAAATGTTGCACGCAGTTCATTAATCATACTAGAAATGGCAGGCCAAGTCAAGCGCTTTGTGTATCTGATGCAGGGTTTTTCATAGTGAATCGTATAATATTATGAACTGATGGGCTGCTGAATGAAGCAGTAAGGCGGTGAATTAATGAAGCGCAGGTGAGTTCTGCGTATCATGTTACCAGCACATCCATAAACAAGTTAAACGAGAAACATGAGGAAGAGGTGTGTGAAGCTCATCTCAAACAGATGAGCATCAAAGACGCGTTTGGAGCGAATTCAACAGATCCAGAGCAAGAATGCTTTTGATTACCGGACCGAATGTTCTGGTGTCAAACATGAGACTCGTTTATGAGTTTCCTAATGATTTCAGAGTATGCGGCTCATTATGATGACGGTGAGTTTGATTTCTGTCTTACACTGCATCATCATCTCAGTGACGAACTGCGTGCTTTGCATCTTTGAGCCAATCAGCTGAGCTGTAGATGTCATGTGACATCTCTGAAGCAGCACAGATGCGGATGGAGTTTGTGTTGTTTGTGCTTCACAGAGTCTTTGTTGTGCTGCCAAATAACTGCGTTCACACAAACTCACAGAAATCACTCAGCAGCTCCGTTCTCTGCCCTCCAAGCATGAACATGCGGCGTGTGTGTATGGATATGTTTAGCATTAATGAATCTAGTAAATACCCGCATGTGTTTATCATTGCAGCAGCTATAATATGGATTTTTATAAAGCCTCGTTTTTATATATACCTCATACTTTTACAAAAAGGCAATTAATTTGTTCTCAGAAATAACAGTCTAAAAAAAATCATCTGTGATTTATCTTTACATCATATCTTTAGTATGCGGCTCATTATGATGACGGTGAGTTTGATTTCTGTCTTACACTGCATCATCATCTCAGTGACGAACTGCGTGCTTTGCATCTTTGAGCCAATCAGCTGAGCTGTAGATGTCATGTGACATCTCTGAAGCAGCACAGATGCGGATGGAGTTTGTGTTGTTTGTGCTTCACAGAGTCTTTGTTGTGCTGCCAAATAACTGCGTTCACACAAACTCACAGAAATCACTCAGCAGCTCCGTTCTCTGCCCTCCAAGCATGAACATGCGGCGTGTGTGTATGGATATGTTTAGCATTAATGAATCTAGTAAATACCCGCATGTGTTTATCATTGCAGCAGCTATAATATGGATTTTTATAAAGCCTCGTTTTTATATAGACCTCATACTTTTACAAAAAGGCAATTAATTTGTTCTCAGAAATAACAGTCTAAAAAAAATCATCTGTGGTTTATCTTTACATCATATCTTTACTTAACTCTAGGACAAAAATAAATAAATAATAATTACCTGTTTTTTTAGGTTTTTTATTGGTTTTTCGTTACAAATAAAATTAAACAATTTTTCAACCCTCACATTGCATCTATGCCGATTATTAATTTTCATAAGATAACTGAAAAGAAATGCATATATATGCATGTATACAGAATCTATTTTCTAAATGCATTTTATTAATCTTACTGTGAACAATTCATCTGTACATTTGTCAGTGTTATATTAATATCACTGATATATTATTATAGTTTTGGTTAATATTTTAAATTAGATTTAATTTTTATATTTTCAGTTTTCACTTTAGTTAAAGTTTTAGTATTTTTGTTTAATTTTTGAAATTATTTTTTTTAAATATATATTTTTTTATTAATTTGCAAATGTCAGTGTTATTTTGTATATTTTTGATTTGATTATTTTAATTAATTGAATTAGATTTTATTTTTATATTTTCAGTTTTCACTTTAGTTAAAGTTTTAGTATTTTTGTTTAATTTTTGAAATTACTTTTTTAAATATATATATATTTATTAATTCTCATATGTCAGTGTTATTTTGTATATTTTTGATTTGATTATTTTAATTAATTGAATTAGATTTTATTTGTATATTTTCAGTTTTCACTTTAGTTAAAGTTTTAGTATTTTTGTTAAATTTTTTTAATGATTTTTTAAAATATATATATTTTAATAAATGTTCATATGTCAGTGTTATTTTGTATATTTTTGATTTGATGATTTTAATTAATTGAATTAGATTTTATTTTTATATTTTCAGTTTTTACTTTAGTTAAAGTTTTAGTAATTTTTTTTAATTTTTGAAATTATTTTTTTTAAATATATATTGTTTTATTAATTTGCATATGTCAGTGTTATTTTGTATATTTTTGATTTGATTATTTTAATTAATTGAATTACATTTTATTTTTATATTTTCAGTTTTCACTAAGTTTTAGTAAATTTGTTGTTTTTGCCATTTTAATATGTCTACATAGTTTTCATTATTTTTTATTTACACATTATAGTTTATTTAGTTTGAGGTATTTTAGTGCTTCAAGTTAAATTAAACTGAACTAGCTGTATATATATGTATATGCATGCTACAGAGACGAGAGCTGATTTATCTCGACACGCCGGCCTTGGCTCTGACAGAGCTCTGAGGTTGGATATAATTGTGGATTATCTACTGAAATTCTTCGGCTTTGCCCCGATGGAAATGATCCACTGTACGCTACATAAATAACTCCTGGCCGGCTCGCCAGACAAACATCTTGTCTCCTGAAAGACTTTGCAAAACATGACGTCTAAAGCCCTGTGAGCCGGAGTTTGTATGCGTGTACAAGCATGATTTTGGTTAACTTGCTCTTTCATCATTGCGAGCAGTGGAGGACGCGAGGAATGCCTCTATTGTCTTCACTCGTGGCATATGGCCTCCATTGATGCGCCACTTACGCAGCTCGCAGGAGACATTCCCATAACCTTTATTAAAGGATATGTAAATGTTAGGACAAAACATGTTTATAGAACATTCTTATAATCAATACTTGATATAGATTCTCGTAATGTTGAGAGGAAACACTGATGTTCTCAAAACATGTTATTAATGCTTGATCAATGATTTTGTAATGTTAGCAGAAAAC